TCACCTGCATTCCTGGACCAGCATATGCACACCAGAACTCCCCGCGCTCCCCAGGTGCCAAGGGGGTGCCAGGGACCTTCCTGATGCACCCTTCTCTTGTCTGCCAGGGATGGCAGACACCTGTGGATGTGGCTCCTGCCTTGTCATAGCAGCAAAAGAAACACAGTTGACACTGAACACCATGAACAAAAAGTCTGGCAGTGACCATGGCAAAGCCAGGCCACAGGCAGCCACAGCGTTCCCTGCCCTCACTCAGGCATGGCCCATAAGTCACAGGGGCACAGCAATTCCCAGATCTGCTTGAAGAAAAGTCTCCTGCACAAGGTCTTCAGGATGAGATGTTTTTATTCATCCCACATTCACTTGTTTGTTTCTTTCTCCTTATAAGACATGGAATTAAATTTGCAACTTTCTCAAAGTGCTAAGACTAAGCGCCGGTTCTGGACCAAGCAACAGTCTGCGGGCTGCAGGGCAGGTGAGAGCAGCCTGTGCCTGTCCCTCGGCAGTCCCCAGCACGACCTCCTGTGGACAGGATCGGTGTGTCCTGGGGCCCACCAGGCTGGGCCCGCAGACTGCTGCACTGAGGCAGACACCTGCGCCCCCCCACACTGGAAAGGCTCCCCAGCAGCAGGGGGAGCATCCTAACCACATCCTGGGAGCTCGCATGCACAGCTCTCCTCACTGACTTCTCAGACACAGTGAAGACATGGAGAAACTTTCTCTTGATATTTTCCCTGTTGAATCTCAAACACTTCCCCTCCTACTGATTTCACAGGGCACTTTCCTGGTCTTGATTTGTAAGCCATTGGGCTCTGAAGCTGAGGAATTCACAGGGCTGGTGACAGAGCCTGTTCCTGGCCTGGCCGGCTGGGGAGCCTTTCCCACATGTGGGTGCTCGATCCCACAGAGCCCGCACTCGCCGCCAGGGCAGGCCAAGGGCAATTGGCACAGAAATGTGAGCCTCGCTCTGCAAGTGTCGGCTCTTCTGCAGTCACTGTCTGCAGACAGTTTCCCGGCCTCTGTGTGAAGCAGTGATAGCTTACACAGACACAGAGGCTTTGCAGGGAATGGTGCTACAGGGGGCTGTTCACCAACATCTGGGTTCTCATCAGGGGCACCTGCTGGAGGACTTGCTGTGGCGACTGAAAGGTGAGCTGGAGTGACATGGGTCACCTGCATGCAGAAGTCTTTAGGAGCCATTACACTGGCTGCCACATTTCTCACCCCTCACTGCCACCTGAGGTCAGCATGCATCCTCTGTACAGGGCCAGACAATAAATATAATATTTTAGGCTCTGTGGGCAATATGATCTGTCACAACTAAGCAGCACCTCTGCTGTGGCCTGAAAAACAGCTACAGACAATGTATAAGTGAGCAGGTGCAGCTGTGTTCCAAGAAAACTTTATTTACCAAAGAGGGAGTAGGACAGACTTGGCCTGAAGGTGTGCTGATGTCCAGGGAGAGGGCACTGTGGAGCAGGCAGGCCCTCAGCTGCCCATGATAGACTGCAGTCTAAGTGAGAAGTAAGCCTCTGAGGGTTTATGGCTGCTTGTTATCACAGCATAACCTGGCTCACACTGACAGATATAGGGTGTTCCAGACCTACATGTACCCATTAAGGTTCCTCAGGCAGTTTGGTGATGACTTTAGTCACCTGGTTGGTTTCTTATTTGGTTTATGGGAGAACTATTCTAAAATGTAAGTAATCATTTCCTAATTTGATCCAATGGCAGTTATAAACAAATAATTGGATTTTTAAAACTGGATGTGGGAGCAGTTTTGAATAGTCAGATGTGCACCTGTCCAACCACTAGGGTCTGGGATCGCTTGTCACAGCACATGACCTCCTTCATCCTGACAATTATAATGGGAGAAGAGCTTTGGCGTTAGAGCCCAGGCCTTGATTAGATGGCAGAGGTGCCTGGGAGAATAGGGTTTGGAACTTGCAGGATCTTAGGTTCAGGAATTTGTGAGAAGATGGAATAAAGAAGGGGAAGCAGGTTTGAGGAAATAGGACTGTCGCTATTCTCTGACATATTGAACTTGAGGTACTGCTCCAGGTGAATCTATTAGGTAGTAAAATATCTATAGATTAGAAAAGGACTGTGACAGGAGCTGTGGCTGCGAGCAGGCTGGGCACCACCCACCCTTACCCACCACCAGCCTTCCAGACCTTCAGCTGGCACCACAGCAGAGAGAGGCTCCGGGAGCAGACAGCCATGACTGGATAGACGAGGTGCCCTGGGTGTCACAGCTGACACCTGGGGGCTCATGATTCATTCCCTGACCCTCCGAGAAGCAGAAAGAACCACCACCTATAGCACTGACCTCACCCTGAGGAGAGGCCACCTGTGTCTGACAACAAACCAGCCAAGGAGGCTCTGCGCCAGCTCCACTTAGCACATGAGCACACCGAGACTCCAGAAGCGACCAGGCAACTCTCCTAGGTGACACAGCTAGTGAGCAGGGGCCTCTGCCCGCCACTGCCCTGTGCCAGGTCCCAGGCCAGGCTTCACAGAGTGCCCACTGCTCTCTGCAGGGGCTGGCGGGCACTTTCCACTCCTCTGGCCAGAAGCCAGCCCTGAACATTTTATAGCAAAGGAAGGTTAGGTGGCCTCTCGCCACCACTCCAGCCTGGAGCCAGGGGCAGGGCGGGATGAACAAGCCCACAGGAGCTATCACAGCGAGCTATCACTCACACCATCCGCTTCCATTTCCTCTGGGTGAATGAAAAGAATGAAAGCTTCTAGTTTTCCCTAGGGTGAGCTGTGCCTGGAGAAGCCCAGACAGGGAGGGAGCACACATAGGCCTGAGGTGTCCCAGAGGCACGCTGCCTGCTGCTAGGACCCTGAGCATTCTGTCACAGCTACTGCATTTTAGGGCCATTTCTATAGAAACCACAACCCCAGCACCCCCTTTCTATTTTAAAGGAACACAAAAGAGAGCTAGAAGAATCAGTGATATTGAGGATCTGTATCTCAGCCACCTAAGGGCTCCCTTGTCCATGTGGCTCAGAGGCAGGGCTCAGCCACACTGCTGCTGTGTGTTTGTGGCTGTGAGGATGGGTACATTTGCTTTTTATCTGGTTCATGTTCCTCCACAGGGCTTCAGAATGAAGTCAGTTAAATGGCAGCAGGACCATCTTGTGTTGGGCAACCTTTCTGATCTATGGTCGCAGGCACATAGGGTTTTTAGGGGGACTCAGCTGAGCCACTTCCCCAGGCCTCGCACACCAGTCTGGCTGGGAGCGCACACAGGCGTGGCCCACCCCGCAACAGCCACCCCTGCACTCCAGAAGAAAACTTGCTGGAACCCACGATCCAGGTCTCACAAAACCTCTGCCCCTTGTTGCCAGGAAGCCTTGGGTGTGCTGCACAGGAGCAGACAGGGCTGGTCTGAGTTCGAGGTGCGCCCTGTCATCTCACAGGGGCCAAAAACACCCATGCCCCTGGGCACAGAGGAGCCCGGGGGGTTCCTGCTATGCTGGCCTGGAGCCTGTCTTCATCATGCCAGCCTGGCACTTGGAGGCCTTTTTCTGAGAAAGGCAGGCCTGCAGAGTCTGGATTTTCCAGATTGGTGACCACAGAGCCCACTTCTAACTCCCAAGTGCAGAACTCCGGGACTAGGTCCCTCTTTCAGGGCAAATCCAGCCTGGTGGGGAGGAGGGTCCATGAGGCGGTGGCCAAAGCAGGACCTGGTGTTCGGCATGCTCTAGCAGCCCTGGGTACTTCCCTAGGTCGGCCAGGGGATGGGCATCCCAGTGTGATGCACAAGACCAACAAAGCAACCCCAAACCAGAAAAGCAGCATGGGAGCAGTGGCAGAACCAGGGGCTAGTCTCTGGGGCAGCCCGCCCATGGACAGCACGCCTGGGCTGTGGGAAATAGCACGGGGAAGTTCATCCTAACTCCCGGCCGCTCAGCTCACCCCTTACTTCTCCCAACAACTGAAATAAACTGGGACGGGTGAAAACTGCTTTGCTTGACCTCTTGCCCTTTGTAATGACCTTCATTAAAATCCGGAGCCTGACCATAACTTTCACCTGAAGTCAAAAGGACAGGAAATGGGTCTCAAGGTCCCAGCCACCTCTAAAATGAGCTAATACAGCACTTAATTCTAGTGGAACAAAGTGGGAACAGATTTTTAAAAATCTGTTTCCTCCTGCTCTGGGGGTTGTCTAAGTAGAGCCAGACTGCAGAGCTAGACTACAGAGCCATTGGACCGCCAGCACCCATGGGCGTGCTTGCTCGTTTTTAGAACTCCTAGGAAACACTGAGGGTGGTGACCTGTGGACCAGACATCCTGGCAGCCCTGGGTAGTTAATTGAAAATAAGGCCTCCCCTTCTCTTATTCTCCCCCTGCTCCTTTATCTTACTCGTGGAAGTTGAGCCAATGCCATGCCTAGAAATAGAAGGCATCTGTAAGAATTTATAATAATGAAAGGGTAACATGCTAATTAGACTGGACGTCATTCTGGACATCATTCGGACGAAGCCGGGGCTAGAGAAAGCCCGGGTCCTGTGTGCCAGAGGGCAGCCGGTGCCCACAGCCAGGGGAAGGAAGGCCTACTCTTGCACAAATTTGTGCACTGGGCCTCTAGTAATGATATAAGTACTAAACAATGTGCTCAATCCGGTTCTGAGGTCTGGCCGTTCCACTCTTTGTTGAAAGGGAAAGGAGTTGGCAAGTGTTAAAGAGATGCTAAAAACATCCAACACTAAACCAGGACATCATCCATAACACCATCAGATCGACTGAGTGCAAACTGAGACAGGATAATGTTATTCAAAGGCTATGCCAATCACATATCTGCCCTGGTAGTGACAGGGAGACACACCTACCATGGTCAGAGGTCCTGAGAATAGGAAGGGAGAAGGGTGCTGCCTTGACCTCCTCCATGCTAGTTCAGGGGACGGATGCTGAGCTCCGATTTGAGGATGGAGCCCCCAGCCCCAGGAAGGGTGCCCAGTGCCTCCCTGTCCATGCCCCGAGGATGTTACCTGGGTGGGAGCACTGCACGACACATGCGCCAGGTCCCGGATCCTGGCCGTGGCCCGGGGGTCGCTGGAGCTGATCAGCACTGGAGCACTGATTTCCACGGAATGCCGGTGGCCGGCAGCTTGTGAGGACCTGTGTGTCAGGCTGACCGCGGTGAAGGAGTGGCGTTTCCTGGCATTCTTCTTGCCGTCCACATGCTGCTGAAAGGCACTGACTGCCCCTGTGCTGCTTAAAGTGAGACCTGGGGCCACACTGGCCACCGCGCCAGGGTCAGAGGGCAACGAGGCATGGCAGTCAGACACAGCAGCTGGGCAGAACTTGTCCATTGCAATAAGCTGCTTGGCTGAGTCGTTGAGCTAAGTGAGAGAGGGAGAGGGGCTTCGTTAAATAAGGATCACACGCCACACCCAGCTTTCCGAGCTCACCCAGCCTGCACTCACAGTTAGAAATGGACACTGTGCTCAGACTGACCAGATCTTTATAACAGGGCATCAGGTATGAGAGGTGCAGCCAAACACACAGCGAAGGCTGGCGTGCCATCTGAGGAGTTTATTGAAAAGGATCTACCACATCTGCCCCAATGGAGCCCCCTGTTCCTGGGCTGCCCATTTCTGAGGGACCAGAGAGAGAGCAGCAAGGAAAGCCTAGCCATTATCTGCCAGTCACCATGGCAACAGGTTCTTGGCCTGCCTTGCAAATCTGGTCACCCTGGTAGGAGAATTCAAGGCATGTGACCAGAAGGCACTTTCTAGCCAGCCTGACTCCAAGCTGACCTGACCTGGTTCATGAGGGGTTAAAACTGCATTCTTTCCAGCAAACCTGCAAGGGCTCAGGGCACAACTCCTTCCTTGTTCTTCCACCCGTGGGGCCTTTACAGGGAGTTTGATCCCCGTGGAGCTTATCAAGGAAGGCAGGATGGGTTCCAGTCCCTGACAGCCTGGGTACTTGGGCCCCAGGGCTTCAGGCCCCATAGGCAGGCAGTGCCTGAGGCTGGAGGGGCTCTGGGAGAGAGGTGCCCTCTCCTGTTGGGCTCCAGCAGGGCCTCGGTTAGATGAAGGGTCAGTTCATTGTCTAGGAGCCAGAGTGTGCCCCTGGCTCTTCCACCTGGAGCAAGCTTTTCATCCAAGGTGTACAACAGAGCTGCTTTCCCCGAGGCTGCACTGGGCTCTACCTCTGTTCATGCTAGAGGGGGAACTTGCCGCAACTGCAGGACTGAAGCAGAGATGGCTGTTTCCCATGGGCTCGGAGTAGCCAGGAAGGACACGCACTATGAGAATGAGCTGGGCCCATCTGAACAGACAGTTAAATAAATCATGCTAGACAAACATCTGTGGAATTCTATTCTTTCTCCCTCCTCTTTTAAGAGGTAGCTGAAAAAACAGAGTCAATGCCAGCTAGCCCCTGGGACCTGCCCTGGGAAGCACAAAGGTAAATAGGAGGGAACTTGAGCCACTGGTCTGTTTTTTCCTCCCCAGACAGAAAGGGTGTGGGATGGGAGCCCTGGTGGAGCAGGCCTGGCACATACTTGCCTGCAGAGTCTGGAATGATGCATGGGGTTCAGACGGGAGCAGTCTGGGATGATGCACTGAGTTTGGGCAGGAGCAGGAAGAGCAAATGTGGCAAGAAAATCCCTAAGGGCAGGAGGCCCTTGCAGGCAGGTAAATGCAAGGACCCCAGCTGTGCACCTGCCTGTGGACTTCACCCTGTGCAGGAACCACGCCCATGTCCTCAGCTGAGGGGGAATGTGGGCTGGAGCCTGATGGGGCCAGGCCAGAAAGGGCACTGGAGTCTGGCCTCAGGCCTGGATTGGGAGATTCCCTCAGCCCGGAGCCATGGAGGCTCTCATTCAGGGTCACTACCAGGGTACGGAGGCCACTGCTAACATTTTGATAAGTTAAAGCATTTTAAGAAGACAAAACTCCACTGAATTGCAGTGGCGAGAGCCCTGATGCAGCCCCTCTGCAAGGCCAGGCAGATCCTATACACACCACTGCCCTGGAGGCCCTTGGGCCATCAGCATCTTCATTACAAACACCATCTTTCAGAGGGAGGGTATGAAAATCTCACTCCAGGCCCCCAAATGGGTGATCTAAGTCCAGGATTGTTTACCTTGAAATGTTTCCTCCAACAAGCTCAGCTGCTTTGCTCTATTTTATGTCTTTTATTTGCTTGCTCCCTCAACAGTCCTAGCTTGAAGAGCACCACAGCTCCTGTCCCCCACAGCCCTGTGTGGGCTCTCCAAAGGGGACCCCGGACTATGGTCTGCACCCACAATGCAGGGCCAAGTACAAAATAAAAAAGCTGGAAGGCACAATGCCCCTTATTATGGGCATCGGAATATAGTCTAAACACTCCCTGTGTGTCTCCACTTGGAAGGTTATTATACAGAATTAATAACAGAATTCCATTCTTCCCCAAAGCAATGGCTCTGGACTATCTCACTGAGTTCCACTGTTCCTCTGTTGAGTCAGTATTAGAAATTCCAATTTCAAGATCAGGAAATTCAGGCACCTACAGGTCAGGTGTGTGCACATCCAGCCCACTCGATGCCATAGGGAGCTGAGCATAGTGCCAGGAGCGCTGCACTGCCCACCGCTGGCACTGCTGGCCACTGCCTGAGCTAGTCCTCAACCACACTGCCCTCTCCTTCTCTATGGAGAACCAGGGTGCAAAGGCATTGTGCCTTTCTCACCCACCCCGTAATAATCCAAAGCCCATGATAGGTGCTGAAAGTGAGGGCCAATACATTTCCGGTGACTATAGTGCTTTCAACAAACTATAGGAAAAGTAAGAACTTCAGCTTTCAGGTGATGAATCCACACATTTCATCAGCAGCTCTTAGAGGTGAGGGGACATCCAGGGAAAGGCCTACTGATGAGGAACTGTTCAATTTTGTCTTCTTTACTAAATTGTTGTTGGTAACAAGTAGCTTCTTATTGGAGATAGAGATAGATAGATGATAGATAAATAGGTAGATAGACAATAGGTAGATAGATAAGATGATAGATTGAAGATAGATAATAGATAAATGATAGATAGATAATAGATAGGCAGATAGATAGATAGATGATAGAAAATTACCCAGGCATTGACCACCATGCCTGGAGTCCGGGCTTGCTAGACTTTGATAGGTGCAGTGGGAGAACTTCAGCTCTGGGACTTGCTCCTGAAGACAAAGCTCACTGTCCAGGGAAGCTGCCATCACCTTTCCAACAAGCTCCATGAGCCATGTGACATGGTGCTCAGGGCTGGGCCTGGCAGCTGGCACCACCAACGCTGTCCCGGTTGGAAAGCCTCTCTCTGGGTGCACATGTCCACACCACATAGACCCACCATTGCAGGACACCTGCAGCTACCATGACCTGCCACCAGTGGCTCCTACATCAGACTCTTCAGAGCAGCCATAATATCCCATTTCCTCCTACTCTGACTGGAGAAACCAGATGGCTCTGCTCTGTGCCGTGTAGGCACCGCGGCTCAGTTTCCCAGGGCCTGGGGGACCCAGGAGATAATGAGCAAACATGGGAGATTTCCTCTTCCTTCCCCCACAACCAGAATGCTAGAATGTGCTGTAAGTGGCTGCTGACTGGGGAGCGGTGGAGTGTAGTGATGTGGACAAGTGCTTCCTGCCTGAGGGTGCTCCCCTCTCTCAGCCAAGATGCTCACCTGGGAGTGAACGGGCTCTGCTGTCTGTCCACAGGTGCGGTCATCTGATTTGTATCTCAAGTGGGTACCTCCAACCCCCACAGGCAGCACAATCAGACAGACTGTGCTTTTTCACCACACACATAACACAAAAATCAATGACTAACCAACACATCCAGTAACTCCAATTTTGATTGTTCTTTATGGAAATAGAACACATTTTCAACGACCATACGAAATGGAAACAGAGTGGCAGCCCCAATGTTTAAAAGTCTTGATGAGCTTGTCCATTTATCAGAGGACCATCACTGGCGCTTGGAAAGGAGGGACCCCCCACAGAGCCTGCTCCCTCATGCTCTGCGGGTCCCTCCGCAAGGCCAGTGCTCAATCCACACACTCCGGGGAGCACATCCGGGGGCAGGTCAGCTCATAGTCACACTGCCCTCCGCCAGGGTCCCGTCTGGGCAATGGGACAGTGATGGTCAGCCAAGGTGACTTCCCTGTCAGGGACTCTGTATTCTGCCTGTGTGGTTAGCAACTGTGGATGAAAAGGGGCCGCATGTTAACCTGACTAGCTCAGGGGAGGCCTGTGTGGTGGCTTTGCAAACTCAGAGACCTAAAGTAACCACAAAGGAGGTCTGAAATGAAAGCTTTTAAAATAAAAGCAGTTTATGGAAGATAGTCATGTTCTAAGCTAGAATCTTCCCTGACAAAGGTCAATCTTTACCTTAATTAAGTCTGTCTATTGTCTTTTGCATCTAAGATAACATACCTTTGGAATGTCAAAGTAACTCCATTTTTCTGGACCCCTCAGACCACAACCAATGCACCTGGACGAAGACCCTAAATTCCCTCATTGCTATTGTTATCATGTTCATTATTGACTATTAACTACCCTGTACCCACCTATGTAAAAGAAGTATGTCTATCATTTCACTTTTCATCCAATCCCAGAGGTTCCCTCCCTCCCCACCCCCTGCTTTGCTTTCTCCCACCTCCCTAATCTATCACCAAGGGATTTCATGTAACCCACATACACCTATACACCTCCTTTTTTTATTGTAATGTATAAAACAAGGTGCAGAACTGCCAGTCTCTGGAGTATTATCTCACCGATTGAGATTTTGTCTCCTGGCAGTTGTCGGCAGTTTGGCTCAAATAAATTCACAAAATTCTCTATAGGTTTGAATGTTTCTTCTGTTAACAGGCCCTTCTTTTTAAGATTTTGTCTCACCAACTTTATTAGCTCAGCTGTGATATTCCTCTACAACCACTCTTTTCCTCCAACCACAGAAACATCTAGCAAAGTAGGGAGGACTGTGGAATTCCTTCCTTCCATTGTTTAACTAGTTCTACAAGTGGCCTGTTACAATAGGCTGTATCATCCCAGCTGCGCCAGAACTTGGGGACCAGGTGAACTAAAGAAGGCTCTCCACAGCAACTTATAGGAGCCATGAGCCCCCCGCACCCCTCAGGGGACCTGAGGCCAGCACAGATTTGGGTACTTGGTCTGGGAAAGAGCCGCCAGGCCCTGTGCAGAGTGCGGTCACCCAGACACACCTGTTCTGATTGAGAGGGCTTTAAGCTGAATGTGTGTAGGAGGAATTTTTAAACAAGGAATACGATTGGGAAACCAGACATATGGGATACAACATGAAAGGAAGGACACTGGGGTGAGAGGTTCCCAGCAGTTCTCAAGAAAAGTAACTTG